TTTATATTTCTTGCCTCTCTAAATTTACAAGCCTTCTTTAAGTTTGCTGATACTCCTTCACAGAATTCCAACAATGTGCTATACATCAGGACAAATTGATAAAATCACGTAACAGGTCCTTGCATTAGAAATTTATTTATTTTTTCTTCTTCCAAAGATTGAATTAATTCAGATTCAATGAAATATAATTGTAAAATTCTCAGTTTTTAATTGCCAAGATTCATATTTTATGTTAATTTCTTGTGTTGTGTCCTATTTGCTGCTCTGGCTCTCCCACTACTGAATAAGAAGAATAGAATACATTTCCAAGTATATACAATTGAAAAAAAAGCAAGGGATTGATTTAATTATTTCACAGATTGTTTAGGTTGACTTCAATCAGAACAACAATTTGTCTTGCATATTGATGTTATTGTCTATGCTAATTTCATTTTTCATTTATCCATTCATTTATTATTTAATCATGCTTAATGCTTTCTTTTGCAAGGTCGTAGATAAAGGTTCAAAACTTGGGAAGTCTGATGCAATTTGCTGAAGTCCATCAAATCTGCTGCCTTTCATTGTTATAAATTAAGGTTTACACAAAGTTGTTCTAATTAAAGGAGAGAATCCGACTAACACTTGTGCCAGGGTGTTATGCAATTCCAAAAGAGACTATTGAAAAAGGTACAAAATCATCTCCAATGAACATAGATCCTTTCCTTTCCCGTAGAGGCTTGAAACTTGTTTTTTATGATAGAACAATCATAATTTTAGAGTACTAGTGACTTAAATGATAGTTGCTGCAAATTGTGAAATAGATTTATGTAGCCATTGAGCTTTTTCTTTTTTATTTTATTGTTGCTGGGGGGGTCAATTTGTTTTTGGTTCAAATGAACAAAGTACAATTTTCTTTAGTTGACTTAGTTTTCTTTTAAATAGTTTAGTTTTCCCTATTAATTGGTTAATTCAACTTAGGTTAGATTAATAGGGTGTTGGTAGTGTAGAATAGTTCTTGAGGAAACAATATCTTACTCATCTTATACTGCATAATCGATTAGGTTCACTTGCCTAAAATAGTGCGTATTTGGTGCATCAAGAAGTATTGGTTGGGGATGGACAGGAGTTATTTGGTTGTTCAATATAATAACATACATGCTTCTTGATCCTATCAAGTTTGCAGTCCGGTATGCACTCAGTGGGAGAGCCTGGAATCTGGTAGTGAACCAAAGGGTGAGCAAAAAGATGCAAACTTCCACTCCACAGATATTCATCATTAATTAACTATCCGACATTTGAATGCTAATACTAACCCATCATTTAATGAATTCATGGCATGCAGACTGCGTTCACCAACAAAAGGGACTTTGGGAGGGAAGCTCGTTAGGCAGCATGGGCAGCTGAGCAGCGATCATTGCATGGCCTGCAGTCCATCATTGAGAATAAATTATCTTCCGAGAGGGGCACCATTAGAGACATCAGTGTTTTGGCAGAAGAAGCTAGAAGGCGAGCAGAGCTGGGAAGGTGAGTCTTCCAGTGACTTGCTTATCCGTAGATTTGGCTT